GTTTTAGGTGACGAAACTGCCCACAGTGTAGTGATTTGGCGAAGTGGTAGGACCTCGAAGAGGCAGAAAGATCTGGGAGCGTGTCCTGGGAAGGGGTTAGACCCTGGGTAGTTCTCCTGAGGGGGCTGTTCTGAAAGGGCAAGGCTGGCACCCCCCCGGGCGCTCCGGCTTCCCGTCTCAAGGGCGTTTCCCACAGTGCCATCCTCCATGATGCGGCCCAGCCAGAGGCCCTCCCCAGGGCTGGCACCAGGCTGTGTGGGCTTTCAGCCTCCAAAACTGTGAGCTAAATGCAACTCTTCTTTACACAGTACCCAGCCTCAGGAGTTTTGTTACAACAATGAGAAGACTGATGAGGAGGCTGAGGAGGCCATGGATGTCCATCCAAAGGGGTGTGTGTTTCCCAGAGAGAGAATCCCACGGGCATGGGTAGGGGACAATGTGAACCTCAGGTGTGCATTTGGCATCCTGACTCTGAAGGTGGCAGGACGGCTGCGAGAGGATTCAGACAAGAAGTTGGGAGGGAAGAAGGGCTCAGAGGCAGAGAAGCAGGCCCTGGGCGGGTGTGAGAACAGGGCCCTTCTCACTTTGCAGACTGAGGTGCTGCAGTGAAAGGTTTCCAAGGAAACTTGGAGCTCTTGGTTTTCTAGGAAATACAAGTCCCTGAGATGGACAAAACTGAACCAAAGGGACAGGACACTCAGCTTCATTAAACAGAGATGACCTCTCAGGCAGCATCTGCAGCTGCGGAGGGGCCCACATCAGAATCTCCTGCTGGGGAGTCTTTGCTTCTCCTGAGACAACTGCAAGACAACGTTTGCTTTGGTATAAAAAACATGGATGACGACTGTCATGAGAAGGAAGATTACAGAGTAACATGTTTCTCCATGTGCCACAGTTTGCCTGGCAAACGCACTGCTTTTTCCCTGTCAAATTTGATCATTCACCTATTAGGGGAATGATAATAAAATCCAGAACATGTTTTATCTCAGGTTATATTAGAACATTTATGTCATAGCAGATTCATGTTACAGTATTTTCTCCTGGTTGCCTGGGCTTTGCTGTGATGTCAAGTTTGACAGATTGTGGAGCATGGCTCCTTAGCAAACCAGACGCTCAGCTACAACCTGCGCAGCTACAGTACAATGATAGATCCAGCCTCCGAATGTTGAGTTTGGGAAACTCATCTGCACCCTGAAAAGAGACTCCTTGCCATACTTCTCTTTTGTGGTGCTGGGGATGGGGCCCAGGGCTTGGTGTGTGCCAGGCAAGCGCTCCTGAAGCACTAAGCTTCACCCCCAGACCCTGGCTGCACACTTTCCTGAGGGCTCGAGCCATTCAGAAGGGGCCACAGCCAGCGCCCGCTGCCCTCTCACACTGGCATAGGGGTCCTGGTGCCCACGAAGCCCGACACTGTGCAGCTGTCTCTGGACGGGAAGGTGATGCCAGCCATTTCTGAATGCCTGTGTGTGGGAAGCCACATGTGAAATTAGGAAGGACCATGGCCCCTCCCACGGGAGTGTCTTGGAACCACTTGTGATAAGAGCAGCTAACTGTGGACGGGAAGCATCTGCCAGGGAGAAAGGACCGCCCGGCCCTCACCTTCCCCTGTGCTGAGGTCCCTCATGCTGTGACGGCATCACGCTGGGCAGTGTCTCTACTCCTGGCTGCGGTCACACAGTGAAGACAGAGACGCTGAGCACAGAGACACCGCAGGGCAGCAGTAAACGACAAGAGAACCCACTGTAGAGGCTGAGGCAGGGACGTTTCAAGGCGTGTCTTTGAATGAGGATCAGGCACATGGGCTTTCCTTCTCCATCTGGGACACCGTGACACACAGAAAAGCCATGTGAAATAGGAGCGTTTCCAGGTGAGCATCTCCCATGTGACAGCGTGAACATCCCTCTCCTTCCTCTCTCAAAGCATCAGTACTGGTTTCTGGAGAGAAAACAGGGTTCTTTTGCCAACGATGCTCCCGGGAGATAAAGCAGCATGGGTGGGTTTTCCTTCTAGGCTTTCCTGTTGGTAAGAACTGCCCTTATCTGAGTGGTGGGTGTTCCGCCTGCTGCTCATGGCACTGGTACTTGGACTAGAAAGTACCTTCGAGCCAATTTTGGGACCCAGCCCTCTGGCTGATGAAAGGTGGGCGGGTGTGGAGCAGCCTCGAGTTGGACACGCTGCTCACAGCACAGCAGCTGTCAGCCAGCCTCCGGGGTGCACAGGAGACCCACGCAGCGCCAGTGGACCCTGCCCTGCTGCTGGGGCCAGGGCTGTGAGTTTTCCTCAAGGACAAATGCATTCTTCCTGTTCTTTCCACATCAACGCACAACATCTACCACCGGATGTTCCTCCCAAAGGCTAGTTACCAACTGGATCAATGTCCTATGGCATTTTACTTTATTTAAATGACGTGTCTTCAAAAACAGTATGCACGACGCAGATGTGACACAGATGACATCAGAGTGTCACACAAACATGGAACGTACACAGGAGCTGTGATTTGCCCCAGCGTCAGACACACAACCATACCACTGTCATCCTGAAGAGCCGACCAGTGGTAGTTTAAAAAACATATTGTCATTCTGTTGTTTTCAAGTATATGCAAAGTTAGGACAGTAAAGTTAAGAATTTTTCTTTCTAAAAATTAGGCATGTATATCTTTTAAAAGTTCTTGATTCTTATTTTAATTTGGAACTTGACTTCAAGTTATAAACAATCCTCTCGTTTCTCAGGTTATAACCACATTTGACCCAGTAGCTCAAATAATGGGAGGCAGGTATTAAAAGGTACATTTTCCTCTCCAGTTATATGATTTAGAATGACAAAGAACAGAGCAATTTAGCTTTTAAACACTGAAATAAACAAAGACAAAACTGTTCTTTGTACCAGTTTATAAAGTATTACTTCTGGGTATAGATTTAACTAAACTACAGCTTGAGTACATCTTTGTAGCTCTGAACTTCCCAGAATAAACTTTCTAAATATTACCTTCGCTGGGTGGTGGGAGTAACCATAACCAAGACACAGCTTTACCGTAACCTCCAAAGTGCCACCACTCCCACATGAGGAGGGGATGACAAACTGCTACCTATGAGTTCTTTGAAATACTGCATTTCAATCATAAAGGTCCCATTTATTAACTTGTAAAGCAGAGGAAGGAAGGAAGGATGAACTAAGATCCTGGACACACAGGCTGAGCTGGTCCCAGGAGGGAGGGGGCTGAACCATCAAGGAAAAGCACCTCGTTTTCTCTTCTGGAGTCACATGGAGAGGAAAGGCTCTAACTACATGATTCTATACACTACCAGAGCTCTACTAAGTGTCCTGTGACCTCCAATAGCCAAGCAGAAGATCACCAGGATGACTGCTCACTGCTGGGACCCCTGGTGGGGGGGCAGCCAGGAGGGAGTCAGTAGGAATCAAGCAGAGCAGACAGAGGTCCAGCACCCCACCAAGGAGCCTCAGACCACACTGCACCCACCATGGGACAAAGGCGGCCATGAGCCCCGGGAGACTGAACCCTTCTTACACCTATTTCTCAGGTTCTAAAGCCAATGTACAGAATTAGTAATCCATTAACATTTTAGAAGAAATCGTGTTTGATGACTATCTATGCATGGCATCTCTGAGGAGACTATTAAGTTTTAAAGAAATGCACTAGATAGAGGTAGTTTCAAGGTCAACTTTCAAATTCAGTTTTTTAAAAAATTTTTTTGCTATACTATGTGAAAAAGAAATAAAAAATATAATTTTTGAGCTAGACGTGGTGGTGCATGCCTGTAATTCCAGGAACTCGGGGGGCTGAGGAAAGAGGATCACAGGTTCAAAGCCAGCCTCAGCAACTTAGCGAGACCCTAAGTAACTTATTGAGACCCTGTCTCAAAATAAAAATAAAAAGGGCTGGGGATGTGGCTCAGCGGTTAAGTGCCCTTGGGTCCAATCCCTGGCACACCTCCCCACCGCCAAAATATGTGTCTGTGTGTGTGTGTGTCTTCTGTCCTCATGAATTGAGAGTTAGTAACAACCAATAGAATAGCACCTTCCACCATTAGATTATTAAAAAGAAAAAAAGTACTTGAAGTCATGAATGCACAGTGACTTTAAAAGCATAGCTTAATTATTTAAAACACTTCCCTGGCTCCAAGCCCACATGCTCCTCCCACACACCAAGTGCCATATTTATATTTAATTATCCAATTTTATTGCCACAGATAAAGATACGTACATGATAGTGAAATCAGCTTCTTCATTATCTTTGTGTTTAAGCTAATGCTAAGATTAGTTGCTGTCTTCGTCCTTTTTGTGTTACCATAACAAAATACCTGAGGCTTTGTGTAAGTTAAAAAGAAAAGGGGGTTATTTGAGCTCAGTTCTAGAGATAGGAAAGTCCCAGAGCACAGTGCCGGCACCTGCTGGGCTCTGGTTGCAACACGGCAAAGAAGTAGATGTGTGCAAGGGACGAGGGACAACTTTCTCTCCGGAAACTAGTTCAGTCCCAAGTGACCTAACCCACACCTGTGAGAGGGGCACTGATCCCTCATGAACTAAGCAGAAAGCAGGAGGGCACCACAGACCTGGAGCTGAGTGGGGTTCTGTGGCTCTGGGAGCTTCAAAGGGGCCCCTTCCCTCACACTGTGGCGAGGGTCTCCTGAGGCCAAACTTTACTTCCTGTTAAGAGGTAGAGCTGCAGCCTGGCACCACCGCAGCTAAGCCCAGGGTCCTTCCTGCTGCCTGCACCTCATCCCACCAGTGGATGTGGCCGACCTCGCTGGGCCTGCTGGGCTGTGGCCTCTAGGGTGTAGGGACAGTGGGTGCTTGTCATGCTCCCAGGTTGCCAGATCCTGAGTCAAAGGACAGTCACTAGCGGCAGGACACAGAGGCCGACTGGCGGTGAGCCGCAGGTCTTCAGATGGACACTGAAAGGAGGAAAGGATGACAGGTACTCAGGGAGGGGTTTCTGGTCAGGTGACTCACGAGCACCCTCCCGCTCGGGTTCCCCCCAGCTCGAGAACTACATCCAGGACAACATGAGGAAGGAAATGGTGGAGATGCAGCAGAGCGCGGTGCAGAACCAGACGGCCGTGATGATCGAGATCGGCACGAACCTCCTGAACCAGACAGCAGAGCAGACGAGGAAACTGACGGACGTGGAGGCCCAGGTAGGGACCAGGTCAGCTGCCAGGGTCAGCCTCCATGGAATGAGGGACAGGCGCTCCATGGCGGGAGAAAAGGGTTTGTAAGGAATCAAGAAAGGTCGAGAACTCATCCCTGAGTGCTTTCCTTCTGAGTACTGAGGTCAGATGATGCTCGTCTAGTAAGGACTTCCAAGTCCCCTTCCCACTGCGCACACCTGACCTCCACAAGGTCAACGGTCCTTTGCCTCACTGGTCTTCTCTGGACGCTACATAGTACTTTTCATTTCCAAGCCCTAAACTTTTCATGCATTTTAGAAATGAAAATCACAGAGGCAGGGAGCTACAAACTTTGTTCTTAAATCTTAATTCCAGGTTAATCTAAATTTCGAATACACGTTAACACAATTTGTGGAATTAATTTATAGGGAAAGAAACAAATGCAATAGTGAGAGCGGACACTGTGGCAGGGACAGGCATAACCCTGAGCCGAGAGCCCAGTCCATCGTGGTCCAGTTCCACCAGGACAGGACGCATCCATCTGAGCCGGGCACTGACACTTTCTTTGGGTCTCAGTGGTTTTAACTGTCAGAAGAAGGGCTGGGCCAGACAAATCATTGCTAACTTCTCTTCTAGCTTTAGGAGTCTATGAGCTAATGGCTTAACAGCAGAAATGAATAAGGAATGAAAATATTAAATACAGCAAAACATTAAATTATCAAGCCAGTTAAAAAAACAAAATCTCTGAAGTCATGCTGACAATACAACCTGGGACCCAAAAGAACAGGTCGGGCGTGTGGGGGAGGCGCTGTTGGCCGCAAGGATGGAGCGGCCCCAGGCTTGCCTCAGCGGGTCTGCCCTTGGACCCAAAGCCAGGCTCCTTCATGGGCTCACCAGGTCAGTACCTGCCCACTCTGAGCTGGAAGCAAGGCTCCAGAAAACCGCGTGTGGGGGGTTGAACTGCACGCGATTCCTGTGACACATCAACCCTACTTGCCAAAGCCCAGAGAAGGGGGACACACCAGAGGGGGATGGGAAGGGAGTCAGAGGCCTCCTGTGCCCACATGACCCTCCAACGCTCTGGCGCCTTCTCTGAGGGCTATTGGGCGAGGTGGAGAACACGGAAGGAGAGTGAAGAACAGGAGGTTCTTAGGACAGGACAGAGTAACCAATTATTTGATTACCAAGATTTTCAATAAAATCAGAATGCTTCAAGAAAAATATGAACAAATTTTTATAGGGTACACCACAGAGTACTAAAATTTAATCCTAGTTGTTAGTAAGAGCTAAAATTGAAAAGAAATGATTTAGAAGTAAATACCCCACGTGCTCATAGTCAGTCAGTAAAATAAACCAGTGGTTATTAAGTGACATTCCCTACCTTTGGATAGTAAAACCAGTGGGCAATCAAGCTCATCCCAAAATAAAAAGTCCTATAAACATCGTTTTTATGTTTTTAGATAATAGTAATAAAAAAGTGTTAAGGCCGAGAACAACCATGTAAACTTTGGCCACATCCTGTGTACGTCAGATTTAATGTGCTTCGGGGTCACATGATTTCTTTAAAAAGCCTGTTGTGAAATTAGATATCATATGATCCAGGGTAACAGGAAAATAGGAAAATGAGTGGGAAGAAAACAGCCTATAAAGTCCAACCAAAGACATGAACGTGGCTGAGCAAGAGACTACCCATGTCCCCAGTCCCCTCAAATGCCACTGCCGAGGGGTCATGACTGCACGAAGTAGGCGTAAACTCCAACGTGAAAGCTTCTGGTCAACGCGAGATCGTCTAGCCTGACACAATGAGACTACTGAGTTGGGCACTGAGTGGTGGTTGGAGTTTTGAGATCTTAAAGAGGACAATGGCCAGGCAGGCCTGACTAGCTCACATGGTCACTTGCAGACAGAGGCCTGGAGGCTGCCTTAAGGAAACAGGGTTGTAAGAACACAGTAGTCATCCCAGGCCAGCAGGACCCACATACCATCCCTCTCTGCCTCTCTAAATGCGCTCATCTAATAATTCCCATTAATTAAGCAGGAGAGAACCTGCAGGCCAGGTCTGTACCCTAGGTGTCCACCTCAGCACCCAGGCCTGAGTTTGGCCGAGGCCTTGCTCCCTTCTGGGGGAGTGTGCAGACCTGACCTCCCACCAGCTAGGACGGAGGGCTGGACCACCCCCCGAGACCTGAACAGTGTGCAGGCCAGCGCTTTGGCAAACCACAAAGACACCCAGCAAACAGTGATTCTTTCAAGGACGCCAATTCCTTGGCCGTGATCCCGACTCACATTTACACGTGATATCACATCCTGAATCACCGTGACACGGAGGATGTGAGTAATCAATTCTTCCTGCTGCAAGGCAGCCAAACACCAAGGAATCCGTCCTTCAGGCTACTGGGGCAGAATGGGACAGCGAGACTGCACACGCCATGGACCAGAAGCCACAGAGCAAGACGGGTCCTCTCAATATGGACATTTCGTCCTTTCCTAATTGGTCGCAAGGACCATTAGAATAGGAAAGAGAAAACAGCAAAGGCTGAACGTGTGGCCCTGTCCGGGAAATGCCAGGCTAACGGGAGCTACGTGTTTATTTACTGAGCATCCCTGCATCCACTGACCACCAGATAAATACCACAACAGTGCTTGTTTGGGCCAGCGGAATTACTTTTTATTTATCCACAATTTTGAATCTTTGAAATATGTGCATTGGATACTCCTACTAATCTCACAGCATAAGATGATAAAATACAGAACTAGAAAAATATTATAATTTCATACAAACATCAATATCCATAACTATTAACCACTTTCAAAATAAAAACATGGAGAAAAAAGGCTTAACATACATGGATGGGCTGGGGATATAGCTCAGCTTGCCTCGCATGCACAAGGCCCTGGGCTCAATCCCCACCACCACCACCACCAAAAAAAAAAAAAAACCCCACAAAAACCACACATGGAAGTAATCTAAGACACCTCGCTTTTTCTGAACATGAAAAATAGGTCAAAATAAGGAAGTTGGGCTGACAAACAATGTGTTTATTTTCTGATTATTTGGATAATTAGAAGGTAAGAAATTAAACTGATTAAAAGTGATAAATAGGAATTTCATTCTGTTACATTTAGGTTTTAAACCAGACAACAAGGCTTGAACTTCAGCTTCTGGAACATTCCCTTTCTACAAACAAATTGGAAAAACAGATTTTGGACCAGACCAGTGAAATAAACAAACTGCAGGACAAGAACAGGTAACCACCAGTATAAAAATATCGTACGCTCTGAAGACACAGGGCCTACCTCGCTGACTGTCAATTGCGGGTGTAGTTCTCACAATGACGGATTTCTCCGTGTCCAGCACACGGAAGAGACAGTGTGCAGGGAAAGGCAGGGGAGGGTCCGGTGACATGCTGCACTGATACAGAAGCCCTCCCCTGTCTCTGATCCTGGTCTCCACTTTCTGCTGTCACTGTGGTCCTCCAAGCTGCCTCAATAGCACACATGCTTGTCGGTGAGAACTGCAGTGTGTGACGCTGGCCCAGGCTTTAACGGTGGCTTCACCATGCTCATTTGCCTTTGGGGACTTTGTGTCTTCTATATAAAATAATTTACAGTAGGAAGGTTTTCTTATATTGTCATTCATTCATCATGCATTATTTCCTCTTAAAACCATGGTCAAGTAAAAACAAAAGTTGGTGCTAAAATTACTAAATTAATACTTAAATTTAGAAAAAAGTCCCAGGATAAGAAGTATGGTAACAAAAACTTCAGGTGGTGAGTGGGGACCGTTTTCCTAGGTTGATACTAGGTGGGGACATGTGTAGATAAGTTTGCATACATATTTGGTGTGCTTTGTCCTTGGTTTTAATTAAGGCATGGAAAATAGTCACAACAATTTATCTTTTCTATTTCGCAACCTAAGTGATTCTTTAGTCTTAGTCAGAAATGGTGATAAATGTTGTATATACTCATTATTTACTGTGAATCAAAAACGAAACTGCAATTTTTCTTTCTGTTTTCTGGGGACCAAACTTAATTTATTCTGGGTCTCCAGTTTTAAAAAGCAAACAGATTTTTTTTCATTCAAGTAATTTTCATTTATTTCAAGTTTCTACCACTAGGATATGAGTTTGAGACCAACATTTGAGATAAAACAATCTCACAGCAATTTCACGTGGCACAGGAAAAGCTGCTGATCACCACGGCTCACTCGACTGTCTCTTGGAAACCTGGGATAGGCTCAGGCTGCTGAATGTGCCCTGGGACTGAACACTGCTTCTCTCTGTAGTTTTCAAATTTAAGTAGGAATGACCTTCAAAACACAGCAAACCACAGTACAGTTGGAATCCACCATCTATATATCCCAAAACCTTGAGTTACAAAGAAATTTCACTAAATTGTAAGATCAGAAAAATGTTGTGAGAGTTGATTGTGTTTCCAAGCAGTGGTTTTGCCCAGTGAAGTGCCTGTTCTCGGCAGTAGATCCAAGCTAAGCTGAGAGTCCTGCTCTTCTAAGTAAAAGGCAAGGAGATTTGACAGCACAGTCAGCCCTCCTTGACTTCTGGGTCTGCATCCGCGGAGTCAGCCAAGCTTGGACCCAAAATGTTTGTGGGGAGTGGGAGGAGGAAGTACATTTGTGCAGCACATGTTGCTTTCCTTGTCATTATTCCCTTAATAATGGGATGTTAACAACTATTTACATAGGTTTGTATTAGGTTAGGTGTTAGATTATCTAGAGGTGCTTTAAAGCATGCAGAAGGACATATGTAGGCTACATGCACATTCTGTGCCATTTTATATAAGAGACTGAGCATCCATGGATTTCAATAGGGAGGGGTCCTGGAATCCACACTGTGGGTATTGAAGGACAGCAAAATTTACAAATATGGTATCAGGTGACATTGTCGGCATACGCAAGAAAGGAATGATTTTTAGCATTATAGCATACTAAATTTGAAAACTATAGGGAGAAGCAATGTTCGTTACCAGAGCACGTTCAACAGCCTGAGCCTATCCCAGGTTTCCGAGAGATAGTCAGGTGAGTGGTGGCCATCAGTAGCTTTTCCTGTGCCACGTGAAATTGCTGTGAGATTGTTTTTATCTCAAATGTTGGTCTCAAACTTCTACCCTGGTGTGCAGAAATTTGAAACATGAATGAAAATTACTCAAATGAAAAAAATCTGTTTGCTTTTTAAAACTGGAGGCCCAGAATAAATTAAATTTGGTCCCCAGAGAACAGAAGGAATGACTGCATTTCTTTTTTTCAATTTAAATCCTTCACATTTCCTCTGGTTTAATTTACATGGCTCAATAACATACTTTTCTCATAATTCAAATCTAGTTTTACGAAGTTAAATTTAAACATCACAATATTTTTTTTCCATATAAGCACTTTTCAAACAAGCTTCCAGAAAAGTACAATTGCTTTCTTTATACAATAGGTTCAAATGAAGTCAAAATACATACTGGGATCAACATTTCTTTCAAAACTGCCACTACTACACTTTTTATATTCACAGCTGAAGTTGAAAATGATCATTTCCTTTGTTTTGTTTTTCCCAATCTCACTCTTCTTTCTTCTCAAAATAAGTGACTAATTTCGGGACTATAAGCATCACTTCAATTAAATTGCTCCGACATTGAAACATGTGGCCAATGATATTTCTTCCTGAGGAGATGAAGAGAAACTCATAAAATGAACACTGATAGCCCATTTTTCATGACTATAACTTTATAGTTTATGTAGTTCAGTTTTGGAGGCTAGAAGTCCAAGATTGGGTGGCCCCATTGCTTTGGCCTCTGGGGAGGACCTAACTGCAAATGGTATCACTACGGTGGTACAGTGCATGGGAGGAAGAGGTCACCTTTCCAAACAGAGAGCCAGAGAGGGACTCAGGAGGTAGGCTCACTTACAGGAGCTTGCTCTGGTGAGCCCAGGGGGTCCATGAGAGTTCCCTTAACCCCTTCTAAGGGCGCTTCCCCCAAGCCAAGGACTCTTGTCTTTAATCTCAAGACAACTCATGTGATCAGGAGAGGAGCTAGGCTGGCGGGCCCTGGAGGGGGAACTGAGGCGCTGTGTTTAGCTGTCCAGCCCACAGGCTGCTCCTTCCACACTTGGGGGCTGTATGACCGGCACCTTCCCTCACACCTCTCAGATTATTAAAAACAATGAAGGCGGGTGGGTGGGCCACAAGTCTCAGTGAGGCCACACTGAAGGCAGTGCAGACTCAGGGTTCCCAGGCACCTCAGACCGTGGGTGTGAACTGTCTAGTCCACAGCAGTGTTTCCCAAAGCGTGCCACCAGCATGCAGGTGGACTAGACAGCTGTGCACTTGTTTTAGATGACTTTCTGCTTATGGTAAGTCATCTTGGTTTTTAAGACACACATTTTTAAAAAATAATGTTAGGCGATATCAAGAAAAATAATAGTTGAAAAACATGGTAAAACTGATGGAAAAATCCAATCAAAATGACTGCATTATATAATGAATTATTTATGGACTTAATATATTGACAGTGTGTTTGTCATCACTAATGATTTACAGTGACCAGAGGACTGGGATAAGTTTAAGAGCCACAATTCAATTTCTGATAATCATTAATACTGTTGTTACTACTCATGGGCAAGATCTGTAAGGGGTAGTCTAGTTCTTTGCCTGGCTGACGTTTGCAGGGCTAAAGGTTCGTGAAATACTAGTGCCAGAAAGGCACATGGATGCACAGATTGACTGAACGGAAAGGCCCAACGATCATCTAGTCTAATGCCTCTGTTTAGATATCTACTTGGATAGGACACATAGACAGTTGTGACACACAGGCAGGGAAGCCCCACAGAGGTGGGGATCTCGTATGACACTCTTTCCACTTAGGCACTGTGCCCGCAGCGCTGGTGACTTTTCAGTGTCCACATGACTTTCTTGTGACATACATAATCTTTAGGAACTGAGATTAGAAAGCCAAATGGCATAGCTTTATCATTATCAAAATCATTTTTAGAAAACCAAAGGCCAAATGTTCTCTCTGATATGTGGATGCTAATCACAATGGGGATGGGGGAAGGAAGAACAGAAGAATTTTGGAGCAGACAAAGGGCAATGAAGGAGGGGGAGTGAGAATAGGAAAGGCAGTAGAAATGAATTTGACATTACTTCCCTACGTGCATACATGATTACATGACCAACATCACGTACAACCAGAATGGGAAGTTATACTCCATATACATGTGTCAAAATACATTCTACTGTCATATATAATAAGATTTAGTGATTTTTAGATTGATTTTCAGGGGTCTATCTCACATTGCGACTGCTGGGCACCAAGTCTATGAGACAGTACTGGTTAAAGGGGTCTATATTAAAAGAAAGGAAGGAAGGTGGGTGTTTCAGAGTCAAAGATCCGGGTTTGAACTCTTCCACTTGCATGACAGGCCAGGCATGTGATTTAGTATGCCTACATTTAATGCAATTTGTCCATTGGAAATGGGAAGTGATACCCCCATATACACAAGAGGAAACTGAGGCAGAAGTGAGTAGGTAAGTGCCAGGGTCACAGGTCAGTAAGCCAGATCTGAACCTAAGTTAAGTGTTCATCCCTCTCACGCAGAAGTACTTACCAAATAGTACTAAAAGATCAGTGGTCAGATCATCATTAGGATCAGTATTCCAACATAAATAGCTCACACTACCCAGAGGTCCACCTCAACTGCTCCTTCTCAAGCAGAGCATTTCATGAGCACCATGCCTGAAATAACGCCTCCTTCTTCTGGATTCCCGGGTACCCTGTGCTGTGACACTCGTGTTCCACTTCTGTGGCTAGCATGACACATATGTGTACCCTGGCATGTGTCACGTGTAACCCTGGCGAATGTGAGAGACTATTTAGGGCTGTGACAACCTCTTGTTACTTTATAACTCACATGGCATCTGCACAGAGTGCCTTGGCAGAACAGAAACACAAAACCATGAGGGATGTCACTAGGGCTACGGAAACGGTGTTTCTAAAGCGCCTACCCTCAGTGGCAATCCGGCCCCAAAGGCGCTTCGTTAAGGAGTGTGTCCTCTCCCTTCAGCTTCCTAGAGAAGAAAGTGCTGGACATGGAGGACAAGCACACGCTGCAGCTGCGGTCCATGCGGGAGGAGAAGGACCAGCTGCGGGTGCTGGTGTCCCAGCAGAACTCCGTCATCCAGGAGCTGGAGAAGCAGCTCGTCACGGCCACTGTCAACAACTCGGCCCTCCAAAAGCAGCAGCGTGACCTGATGGAGACGGTGCACAACTTGCTGACCATGGTGTTGGCGTCCGGCTGTAAGTGCGGCCCACACACCCTCTCTGGGTGTCGGCACCCCTCATAGCCCTAGCACACTCCTTCAGAAGAGGCACCTTTCTCACGTATTTCATCTGAAAGCTCCATCGGGTTTCAACGTAGAGCCCAGGAGAAAGGGAGGAGGCAGAGAAGAGGTAGGCAAGATACACGTCATACCCACTCTCAGGAGGCAGAGCACCCAACACACTTCAGAGTGAGGGTGCACAGGGCCTGTTTTGCCCGAGACGAGCCTGGCAAGTTACTACCCCGCAGCGGATCTCTGTTTCTCTGGGATTTAAATGGGAACACATAACCAGACCCACCATCACCTGTGGAGACTAATAAGATGATCCTTTGAGTGACAGGCACTGAGGAGGTGCCAGCTCCCCTTGCTCGTCCCGTCCTGCAATACACTTCACCTTCCTTACTCCGTAGCCCTTCAGCTGCAGGGGCACAGGAACTCGGGTCATTCACTGAAGATTATATATATATAAAATCTCTGGGACATTCTGAGCTTTTTTTCCTGAATGAATTTGACCTGGTTCTTTGTGGCTCATCTTGTGATGGTCTTAACTCTGGCTCTTTTGACTCGATGCCCTTTGCATGTAAGTCGTGAATTCACACATGAGGACCGTATGTCTGAATCCGTAAAAGAAGTCTGTTCCCACATTTTACTTGAGTCCTGCAGTTACTCCAGTTTTGACAGCCACTAGCAGAGGGCTGATTTCAGCGGGTGCCCAGCCGCAGGACAGAGAGGCAGGACGCAGATGCGAGAGCCGGCGACTCTGGGCTGCCAGCTGCAGCTCAACGCTTCCAACTGCAGTTCTACTCTCTCACAATTTGGGAAAATCACATTTTCTTCACATTCATAGAAAAAGCAAAGGTAGTCAGTCATCTAACACTGCAGGGACCAGACGGTATGTGTCACCAGCTTTGATGAGTTGAAGGAGAGAAAGCCACCTCCTCTCCATGGGCTCCACAGCCAGGGCCACCTCTGTGCCCCAGGGGACGCGGAGAGCTCTGCTCCGCTCCACAGGTCTCCACAATGACAGACCACCATTTTTTCTTTTTTTAATGTGGCAGAAAAGGAATTGGAAATGTGAATGTTGACAGAATTGAAATTTGAAAGAATGTCATAGTCCTAGAAATTTTAGGCGTAGTAGAGGAATTCAAAACATGCAGGTGAACATTACGTCCTTCAAAATACTAGCTGTCCACGGTACAGCTGCTAAAAGTCCAAAGACTACTAAATATCTCCCATGTGGTATTCTAAAAACAAATCAGGCTTAGCCGTGTGTGTGTGTGTGTGTGTGTGTGTGTGTGTGTAAAAGGGAAAAACACACACTATGGCTCCAGCGGGAAAATGGCCTAAGGGACATGCAGGGGCCCTGAGGAGGAGCACTCTTGGGGTCCTTCTCTTACTTTTGTATAAGTCTACCTGACTGTACTCAAGATGAGAAATTTTCAAAAAGCACAGATTCTGGGCTGTGAAATACCTGCGTTACATGCACTTGATAATACAAAAGTAAGTAAGGATGATTTTAGAATTCACAGGAAAACAGGTACTTTTTTTTAGAAAAGCTAAAACCTAGCATATCCTTTTTATTATAAAAATTCAAATGTAATAAGTCACCAAATGATTGGTTCTTGAAATAACAAGTTTTATCTTTTTGTAAATTCCAATTAAATGCTTTTTTTTTTTTTTTTAAACACAGCTAAGAACCCTATTGTTGATAAAGAGGAACGTAATATTTTCCGAGACTGTGCTGAAGTATTCAAATCCGGACTCACCACTCCTGGCGTCTACACGCTGACGTTTCCCAATTCCACAGAAGAGAGAAAGGTAAGGCATCAATTGCCCTCACCACCTGCCTGGCTGTGGGGCCTTGTGGGCTGAGGACTCCCCAGCAGAACCCAGCCCCAGGGCCCTCCGCGGCCCATGCCCTGTAATAAGGGGCTATGAGTGGACTCAGCCACTGGGTGCTAATAGAGTGGACCGTCCATCTCATCCCCCACAGGAGATGCTGTGCTTGAACAATGGCTGCTTTCCTTGGAGGCCAGGATCATTTCATTGATTTTATAGAAAATCTCTTACAAAACCTGAGTCTGCATAACCATAGTTTGTCTTCTGATCATTTTTCCAAGCAACGTTTGTGTTCCATGAAGGAAGAAGGAGGAAGAGGCTCCTTCACGCATGCACTGTGATTCTCTGAGCCAATGTTTACACACATTTCCCATCTTATTAGAGCAGACAGGTGCACCGGAGGTTTAATAAAATTAGGAATTTTACTGAGTCGGACGGTCACCTTGAGCCCAGGAATGGGAGACCCGGGAGCACAGAGGCCGGGTTTCAGCAGAGGTAAAGGCCCAGTGACATGTACTACACTGCCACGGAATTCTGGGGGGATGCTCTAACCCGCGAGTGTGGTGCCATTGGTACTTCTGCCCTGCTGTGATCGATCACTATTGCCCTGCGCCATCGGTACAAATGCCACCCTGAGCCACAGGCCAAGGGCACCTCCGTGTCACCATTGAAGTGGCTTCACCCTTTGGACTTGCTGACAGGTATCCAGACGCTGAGGTCTGCAGTCCACAGAGATGGGGGGGGGGTCGTCCGTGGCCCCTCCTAACACAGTCTGGAAGAGCCCAGGAGAACAACTGCTTTTCTTATCGAGTGCAGGTGCGTTCCACTACCACCTAGGAAGCAGCGCCATCAGCATCTTGCCACTGGCCAAGGAGGCTCACAGCTGAACACAGCCACCCTTCGATATTCTGATTACAGACCTAGCGCGTCTCCCGAAGCCGCTCTGGGAGATTCTGAGTCTTAACTGTGTGAAGAAAACCACTTCCTTGGGAAATATTTCAGTGTGGCTTCTTTTAGGGATGGAGATACGCATGAGGTACGATGACACTACAGGAGAATCAGTGTGAAATTAAGTCGACGTTCGATGGTTGTATACACTAAATGTGTATCAATGTGGCTGCACCTAAAGGTAGAGGCTGCATACTGAAACACCACTCCAGAAAACCCACTTAATACTGGAGCAGAATGGACGTCTGACAGGCTTCTGGAAGTATATTCTTTTTGAACCCATCATTATCCTCGGTATTTAACATAGTATCAAAGAAAAACACAGGCTTTAAAGGTTTAAAGATGTGGAATTTGAAACAGTAACATAAACCTTGATTATGAATTTAAAGATAAATACTGTGCTATTTAAGATAATTCTTTCCAAAGAAATCTCTAATTCATTCATGCTGCTTTAAATCAACCTTGAAAATGAGTTAATGTCCCCAGCGGCCTAGAAGCAAAGCATCAGGGGAGAAAAGAAACACAAAACAGCCTGCTACAGATGAAGAAGCCATCAACGCTAGGCTAAGCCTGTAAATCCCCTCTGTGATCGGTCTGCATGACAAGTCTTCTCATGTGATTGCTCCTCACCAGAGGCTTGCATGTTCTTGGCCTAGTGATAATGGGGACAGGAACGTCCAGGAGGACAGAGAATGCGGGCTGATCATGCAGATCCCGGGGACAGCACTGAGGGCACAGCCCCATCCTGCTGCCTTAGGAATGTTCTTCTGGCTTGGCTCAGTGTTCCCAGCATGCACGGCACAGACACCCCCACTGCCCCCCGCCCCCAAAACACTCTGCAGAAAGATGAAAACATTGAGCACACTGGGATTATGTGTCAGGTCATGGTTGGAAACATAAGGATTTATATCCCCTCTAAATATCTGCAGTAAAAATAAATCCATTTACACAGCAAGAAACAATAATCTTTCAAAACCTCAACTTTCCCATCTTTAAAATAAGTGGTCTAGATTTAGTTACCTCTGAATTCCCTCCCAGATTTAAGACTTTATAATTCACCATCTCATCTGGGGAGACAGACAGACTTGGGTTTAAATTCCAGCCCTGCCCATCCAAGGCTCAGACCAAATCATTTCACCTCTCTAAGCTATTTCCTAATCTGCCACATGATGACAACACCCAGCCCTGGAGAGGTGCAGGAACCTGAAATAAAAAGTGGGGGCTTCCCTCAGGACCGGATGGATACACAGCCGAGCTCTACAAGACCTTTAAAGAAGAACTAATACCAATACTCCTCAAATTATTTCATGAAATAGAAAAAGAGGAAACACTTCCAAACTCATTCTATGAGGCCAATACCACCCTGATTTTAAAACCAGACAAAGACACTTTAAAGAAAGGAAACTTCAGACCAATATCTAATGAACATAGATGCAAAAATCCTCGATAAAATTCTGGCAAATTGAATATAAAAACGTATCAAAAAAGATTGTGCACCATGATTGAGTGGGGTTCATTCCAGGGATGCAACATATGGAAATCAATAAATGTAATTCAGCACATCAATAGACTTAAACATAAGAACCATATGATCATCTCAATAGATGCAGAAAAAGTATTTGACAAAATACAGCCCCCCTTTATGTTCAAAACACTAGAAAAATTAGGGATAACAGGAACATATCTCAACATCGTAAAAGCTACCTATGCTAAACTCCAGGCCAACATCATTCTAAATGGAGAAAAATTGAAAGCATTCCCTCTAAAAACTGGAACAAAACAGGGATGCCCTCTTTCACCACTTCTATTTAACACAGTTCTTGAAACACTGGCCAGACAATTAGACAGATGAAAGAAATTAAAGGGATACAGAGAGGTAAAGAAGAACTTAAACTAGCACTATTTTCTGACAATATGATTCTATACCTAGAGGACCCAAAAAGCTTCACCAGAAAACTTCTAGACCTAGAAAATGCCAGCAAAGTAGCAGGATACAAAACCAACACCCATAAATCAAATTCAATTCTGTATATCAGTGACATATTCTCTGAAAGGAAAACTACCCCATTTACAAAAGCCTCAAAAACAAACAAACAAACAAACAAAAAAACAGGGCTGGGGATGTGGCTCAAGCAGTAGCATGCTCGCCTGGCATGCATGCGGCCCGGGTTCGATCCTCAGCACCACATACAAAGATGTTGTGTCTGCCGAAAACTAAGAAAAATAAATATTAAAAACAAACAAACAAAAAAACACCTCGGGAATCAACCTAATGAAAGACGTGAAAGACCTCTCCAATGGAAACTATAGAACGCTAAAGAAAGAAATTAAAAAAGACCTTGGAAGATAGAAAGATCTACCTTGTTCTTGGATAGGCAGAATTAATATTGTCAAAATGATTATACTACCAAAAGTGGATCAAGGACCTAGGAATTAAACCAGAGACACTGCGTCTGTTGGAAAAAAAAAAAACAACGTAAGCCCAAATTTCCATCATGTCGGATTAAGCCCTCCCAATTAGACTCCTATAGCACGATAATTAATATCAAGAATCAATAAATAGGAAGGATTCAAACTAAAAAGCTTCTTCTCATCAAAAGAAACAATCAGTGAGGTGTATAGAGAGCCTACTAATTGGGAACAAATTCTTATCACACGCATGACATACAATCAATCAACAATTATATGAAAAATGCTCAACATCTCTAGCAATTAGAGAAATGCAAATCAAAACTACTCTAAGATTTCATCTCACTCCAGTCAGAATGGCAGTTATTAAGAATACAAACAACAATAAGTGTTGGCGAGGATGTGGGGAAAAAGGTACACTCATACACTGCTGGTGGGACTGCAAATTGGTGCAACCACTCTGAAAAGCAATATGGAGAATCCTTGGAAAACTGGGAATGGAACCACATTTGACTTAGCTATCCCACTCCTTGGTCTAAACCCAAAGGACTTAAAAATAGCATACTGTAGTGATGCAGCCACTTCAATATTTATAGCAGCACAATTCACAACAGCTAAACTGTGGAACCAACCTAGAAGCCCTTCAGTAGATGAATGGATAAAGAAGATGTGGCTATATACACAATGGAATATTATTCAGCATTAAAAGAGAATAAAATCATGGCATTTGTAGGCAAATGGATGAAGCTGGAGAATACAACATTAAGTGAAATTAGCCAAGCCCAAAAAACCAATGCCAAATGATTTCTCTGATTTAAGGATGCTGATCCATAATATGCTATGGGGGTGGGGAATGTGAGGATTAAATGAATTCTAAATAGGGCAAAGGGGCAAAGGGGAGGGAGGGGGCAAAGGGGTAGGGAAGTTGGTGGAATGAGATGGCCATCATTACCCTAAGTACATGTAAGAAGACACAGAGGATGTGACTCTACTCTGCATACAACCAGAGATATGAAAAATTGTGCTCTATGTGTAATATGAATTGTAATGCATTCTGTTGTCATATATAACAAATCAAAATTTTTTTAAAAAGTGAGGGCTTCCCCCAAAGAACATGGGACAGCTCTGCATAGCAGAGTACCCAATCTTGCCCTGGGTCATTTAATTCAAGAAATGAATTTTCAATAGCTCTTTGGACAGATCTTCTTCCAAAAGGCCCAAGTATTGCAACTTTAATTTTTGAAATTTAATTAGTTTTCTGTAGAAGATAGACACGGCAACAGGGCATCTATCAGGAGCACGAAGACAGTGCACCCGCACACCGACGGAAGCAGGCTGCCATGTGTGGACTGGCAAGGGCGAGGGCATCGCCAGCACTGTGCTTTTCCAGTCCTGATACAGTCTGTTCATTATCCCCCGCGTGTCTCCTGGCTATGTGGACAGCCGAACACGCCCTCTGCATGTTTAATGACCAATTTCACCCCAATACATCTGTTTTTACAAATCCTCTGATTTTTAACAAATCCAGACGAAGTATTAAAAAAATGTTCTAAGAAGCTGATGGTGACGACTAGAGGAGTCAGACAGATGGTGACGTGGATCAAGTTGACTTTGCAGACTTGACTCCCGTGGAGTCTTCTCCACAGGAGAGAGGGCACATCCTTAGGTGTCACTAGTTACATGGTGCCTCTTGGCACTGAAGAGTCGAAGGTTCCAGAATGAGGGCAGGCCCACTGAGAGCCATGCCAATGCTTCCCCTCACCGCCAAGCCCTTAGGTGCCAGAGGACTGACCACTGTGCACACACATTCCTCACCCCAGCATGCTCACCCACCTACTTATTCCATGGATTTACAAAGCCCGTGGGCAGAATGGAGCAGCACTGTCCACTCTGTTGACCACAGGCAAATCAGGAGGCAGTGTGACTCATGAGCCAATTTCCAGTTGAGCCGAACAGAGGGACTTTTGGCCTATGAACAAAGGGTCGAGCTTCTCTTGTGTTTGGCAGCATGATGCAATGTAAATATATCATGCAGGAATTAAAGGGGCCTCTTCAGACCCTGTATGCTATGGAGCAGCTGCCTGCCTTGATCAGTCGATCAATTTCAACTGATCCTTTTGGAAATGCAGAACGCATCTCAGTAGTCGTGCAGGGTTAGGGTCTGGCACAGTGCTGGAAGAGGGGAGTGGGATTCCTGTGACAATTAATGAAGTCACATCAATACAATGTGATAATATGGGGATTCCTTTAGCAGATCCAATTTTTAGAGTTGATCAATCTATGGAAATAATTTTCTCATCCACAATTGTGATTTTCTTTCATGGCACCTATCTTTCCAAAGGTTCACGAGACAGGGCAACTTGAACCTGTGACCTTTGTAGAGGTATAGGACTGTGAGGGAGAAAAGCCCTTGCAGAACAGGGTGGCTCGGTCACAGTTCTCTGGCTCCATGGGGATGATGTACAGGCAGCCGGCTCGGCTTCCGGGCTCCAGCTTCCTCACATGTGCAACACAGGAGCAGGACCAGGGGCTCCTTGGTTCTCATTTAGCTCTCACCCTTAGATCCTAATTCAAAAACACAGCTCCCACTTAAGCTTACCCTGCCCAAACTGGCTCCCTTACTCTCCAAAAGACCATGGAAAACAACAAAGGAAGAATGTTTATGATTGTCCTTGAACTTTAATATTTCTTACCTCGTATGCTGTAAAGAAATTATCTTACTTTTGGGAAAATTTTTCTTATTGTCCTAGTATAATCTCATTATTGAAAACTATTTATGTAATCTTATTTTCAGGGGTTTTTAATTTCATAATAAAACTCCAGCTGAGTTGAAACTGAGCATGCATGCACTTAGCCCAAGAAAGAATTCTATGCTCTGGACAAAGTTTAAGCCGCCTGGCCCAGCTCTGGCCCACTGTGCTGGCACACTGGTGCCCCAGGGCCCTGTGCTCAGCGGTTCTTATTGCACACAGAGGCAGCCTCAGCTCCAGCAAGGACACAGCAGGGTCCAGGGACTCTTCAGTGGAAGAGCATCCCCTTTGCCAACTCCACAGGGAGGGCAGGGACAGACAAGCACTGACAGTGTCGCAAGGCTGAGGACACAAGTTGGGGGTTCTGGACCTGCTGAAGGTGTGGATGGAGGGCCATCTGCTGGAATGCCTCATTCACAGAGAATCTCTCAGGAAACTGTATGGGGGTCATCTAAGGGCTAAGATTCACCCCATCCTTCTCCCAGAGACCCTGTGGACGCAGCTCCCAGCAGGGGTCCACACTTCTGTTCCTGGGATGGAGTCCCAGGTCTCTGGTGTGACTGTGCCCTTCCCTTTCACAGGCCTACTGCGACATGGACACCAGTGGCGGGGGGTGGACCGTCATCCAGCGCCGCGAGGATGGTAGTGTCGACTTCCAGAGGTCGTGGAAAGAGTATAAAATGGTACGCATGTCCCTTAAAGCAGCTTGAAAGAAGTGATTTCCTCTGTGTATACTAGCTTTCAAGGTCCTCAGAGCCTTAGTTGCAGTCCCAAAACCAACCAATGACTTTGAGGCAGACATTTAGGAAAGATTCTTTCCAGGGGTGCTGCTGTCTCCCCATTCAGGAGTAGTCGGGTCCACCCAAGTGAGGCTGCGTTTGCTCTCAGGCCAGCCCCAAGTGAGCAGCAGCACCATGTGCTGACCCGGGTAGGTGCACCTGAGGTGCTCCTCGAGTGTCCCTGGTTGTGCTACTTGTGTCACTACTGGCTTTCTTCCAGGAATACCTTAGCTCCTTAAAACTGATGTTTTAAAAATCCACTGTCCTCTAAGAAAGGTTCTGCGTCTGTGCAGCACAGGGAGCGGGGCGCTCTGCTGACTGGCAGATTGTCCAAGGGAAAGAGATACACTGTTGATTTCAAGTACACAAAGAGAAACTTTGTGAAGTGAATGAACTCTGCTTGGGCCCAGGGCTTTGGCGACCCCTCCGGAGAGTACTGGCTGGGGAACGAGCTGGTCTCACAGCTGACGAACCGGCAGCGCTACCTGCTCAGAATACACCTGCGGGACTGGGAGGGCGGCGAGGCGTACTCGCTGTACGAGCACTTCTACCTGTCCAGCGAGGAGCTCAACTACAGGTAAGTCCTTGGGATCGGAAAGAACTGGGGGATGTTCTTATTCCAGAACCTGAGATCCACGTTGAACTAGCCAAGATTTAGACACAGGCCGCCTCTGACTCATTACTGTCTTTAGGTAAGTTTCCCAGTTTTCAAATCTAACTTTGTTATGACGATACTAGGGAAACTTTTTGGAATTTTTTGGTTGTGCTTCCTGTGATCTTCAGAGACCAGACCCTCCAGGGCGGATGGTGGTGTCCACACCCACCCAAACAATAAGTGAATGCCGAGTGTCCCTATGATGACATGTAACGTGGCTATCGGGACAGATGGACACCTGGGACTATGTTGTTTTCTCCCAAAGGACATTAATATTTTTTTTTTGAAGTTTAAACACATCTAATTGTTGTGTTCAATTTCAAATTTGGGGTTACTTGACAAGTTTAAAATGAGGTGGATGTTTACTAGGCTTCCTCTTCTCTCTAAAATACATCTTATCCACAGCACCCCTTTAATATTTGTGCCGTCTCCACACATTGGGTGGCAAAAATCTTAAATGTTCCAATGACGTGTGGAAACCTGACCAGGATTCTGGCTCTGAGTGCCAGCAGGCAAGACCGGGCAGCTCAGGGGCCTGACGTGGTGCAGGGGCAGCTCAGGAGCAGAGGCACCCCCAGGCACTCCCTGTGCAGTGTATGTGGCAGGGAGCCACTGGGAGGATGTGGGACAGTGGACTGGTGGCACCCAAGGAACACATATGAGAAAAGCTGTCACCAATGCCACCCCACAGCAGCCCAAAGAGCGCAGGCTCCTGGGGTTTGGTAACCACGGAGCACCTACTGTGAGGCCACAGCAGCAAATGGAGCCCAAAAGAGCATCACAGACAGCAGTTCTCACCTGGCCTACAGTTGTTCATTGATGCCCAACCCCTGCAGGCCTGGGGTGGCTTCCTAGGGAGCTGGCTGCAAGCCCAGGTACCTGACCAGATCCCTGGAAGTGATACGACGCCCAGGGCGCCCTGCTCTAAGGCAGCGGGCCCGAATTCAGAAGCATGCCTTGAGAGCAGATGAACACTGTGTGACTTTTAAAAAGTCCATGGAGCGTAGTCCATCAATTCTCATTAGAGAGCAGGCTCCCTTGGAGATGAACAGAGATAGTGTCTGGGCCTCCCGGTGGGTCCCACTCAACTGCAAAGGCATCAGAACGTCCATGCGTTCAGAGACATGAGTGGTCAGTCCTTGTGTTACCTCCAAGTTAAATATTTTTTCAACTGGGAACAGTTAGGAATCTACAATAGGAATTTTTAAAAAAAGAAACACAAAAATTAAGGATTAGACTGTTTGGATAAGAAGATTTTACAAAATGGGTCGTTACCCTTGTATGCTGACACTGTAAAAACATTTTAAACTGGAGATGGATCTTAACAGATATTTCCTTTAGAAATGTAATCAAATTTTGGACATGCCACTCTAAAAACACACATGGGTTGAAAGCGTAATATACTTGGAAATGTAAAATAGATTAAAAATTACTATCCTAAGAAACATGATACTACTGAGAGGAGAATCGTGATGGGATCATGAGTTTTGATGGCTGCAATGTTTCAGAATGTCAAGTGTGTATAAGCAGGTGCTTTTCCCCCATGAAGAAATGTCCCTAAGTGATGGAAAACTGTGAAGTACACATTATAAGACCTGGATAAATTCATCAACAGAATGGGATTCTTTTTAACTCAAATGTATTTGTACATGAAACCTTCAATATTGTTTAGTTTTCACCAACAACATCACTGCAGTTTTATGAAAACACTGAGATTTAACTGTTAAATGTTGCATTACGTCCTTACCCCACAGTCATGAAAAAATCAACCAGAACCAACTTAAAGCAATTTCCAGAGTATAGTTATTTTTATAGTCAAATTTAAGAGAAAGCAAAGTGATTGACACAAGAGCTACTCAGAACCCACACCTGGGGACCTCACTGGACAGGCCCCTCACCCTGACCTTTACAGCTATACCCCTGCTAAGGCGGGCACCGGCGTGGAAACAACAGAGGAGCAGGGTGTACCTGGGGCGGGTCCCAGGGCCACAACTTACTCTCGACTTTGGGCAAGTTTGTCTCTCTGAACCCTGAGGGCTTCCTATGTAAGAGCAGCGGTGGCTCCCGGCTCTGGGGCTGTCAGGAGCACGCAACACGCCCGCCTGCCTGCATGCCTGGGACCAGCCAACCTCCCCCTTGTCCTGGCACTCCTTGCCAACAGGAACACTTAAAAAAATTCTGCAGTTTCCAAGGAGGTGGTTAGCAACTGTCAGCAGGTCTCATAAAATAAGCACAACTTTGGGGCTTCAGGTATCGTTCTCCTGCAACACGGCAGGGCCCTGGCCCGGGTCTTCCTGTTCCCGTATCTCCATCAGGTCATGGCACCTTATGACACGGAGCCTGGTGCTCTGGTTCACCCCTCCCGCAGCCATGCCCATCATGGAAAGCAAGCTCTGATCTGTCCCAAACCATCCACCTGTGGGCTTTCTGAGGCAGTGACTAGAGCACGGTTATGGGAAGATTTTTACAAACCACACGGAGTCTTCCACCTTTCCTCGGGGTCTCTTTGCATGCACAGCGATGACGATGAACACCATACTTGTGCAATATTCTACAAGTATGTGCTGCTATCTGGTGTCCCAGTATAACATTTCCTCCTTTCTCATGGCTGAACAGGTTGACCACACCACAGTAGAGAAATGGGGCAAAGCAAGGCACATGGTTTATTTTCTCTGCAGTTCTATTGATTCCAAACTCAAGGACCATCCTTTGTCTGCTCCCCTCTCTGTGCCACCCCCACCCCTACTGGAAACAATGAGTTTGAGGCTGGTCAGCGTCTTGGACTCCTTTCCGTGTGGATAGGGACTGGTGCCCCCCGGGGCGGGGGGAGGTCCCTCCATGCTGCAGCCCACTCTTCTGTTTATCTGAAAGCAGCAGGAAAATCAATTACAGGGCCCTTCAGTCCCTGTTGATGCTTGTGCAAGTGATATGTGTTGAAGTTTTCACAAAAACATCCCTCTTTGCTGAAGGATTTGATGATAAGTTGGTTCCTGTTTATACCAGTGCAAACTATTTTGTCCAGGGTAGGCACTGAAGTGCACTGGCCAGTCCACAGCACGCTGCTGTAGAATGGAATTCTTCACTATGAGAAATTTTCCACTACGGTAAACCAAGGACCCGAGCCAATTACGGTTTTTATTTTTTCCTTTTGCATGCTTACAGGATTCACCTTAAAGGACTTTCAGGCACAGCCGGCAAAATAAGCAGCATTAGCCAGCCAGGAAATGACTTTAGCACAAAGGACGCGGACAACGACAAATGTATCTGCAAATGCTCGCAAATGCTGACAGGAGGTAGGGCGACTCTTCTGTATGGGCAAGGGACACTTTGAAAGTGCAAAAGCCTGGCAGCTGGGACTCCAAATGTGACTAGTAACAATGTCCAAAATTTCATAAATAGACATACTACCTTGATATAGGCAAATTTGCTTTTCACTCTTTTAGACGGTTAGTTTGGAGTAAGAGTGCAGGGCTGGAAGGGCCGGCAGCTGGCAGCTGGCAGCTGGGGGGCCTCAGTATTCTCTGAGCTTTCCCGAGTGTGCTCTTGCTGCACATCAGACGTCACAGAGATGCCCAAGTCCCATTCCGCCTCATTTCTAGTCGTCAACAATGTTTGAACAAGGAATTTTCAGTTGTCTTTTATTGGTGAGAATTTCACTAGAATAACAGCAAAGACTTATGAACACAAAGAAACTATCAACCCATTTTATTAGTGCCTCAGATGTAAATGAGTGAGTGTTCACTTTAAATCAAGGCCTTTCTTGTTTTCCACCTTCTGTGTCAGATTGCTTTAAAAACGGAAACGGAAGCATCCCCAGGAGCCAAAGGCTATTGCAGCCGTCACTTAGATAGCAGATTGGTGAGCCACTTAAGAGCTCAGTGATGGGGACCAACTGTTAGAAAGCTCACCCTTCTGATTGTTGAAGGTTTAGAAATTGAATAACGGGAACCAGTTGGTAGTGACTGAGATAAGGGAGAAGTGTGACAAACGCTGTCAAGTTCCTTCTTAAAAACACTAAAACAGCACCAAGAGTTCTGCCAACAGTGCACACAGAAATTGGCAGGGACTAATTCGTGAGACTAAACTGAATGAGCAAAAACGGATTCACTACACTCAGGAAGGGCAAAGGCGAGAGCGGTGGCCAACCGCCTCTCAGGACAAGGAACACGAGACCAGCAGCGCTCAGCCCAGCCTATGCCGTTCGGCTCCTAAGGGACCATTCGTAGTCAAAAGGAGGGTGTTTTTATGGAAATAAAGTGAAACCCAGTAGTTTCCCTAAGTCCAAACTTCATGTCTTTACCACCTCAAGAACTTGGCCCCTGAGGTGGCAGTTGCTGCCTGGTAACACGGAACGTCCCCCAGCTCGGAGGCTTTAAGGAGAGACAGTCACTGCTGCCCCACTTGCTAGACCTGTTTCTGTGGTGCTTTCCAGAACTCCCACAGGCCCAATGGCTACCCAAGAGCAGGGAGTCACATAAACGATCAAGAAACAGTATATTTTTTTTATACAAATAGAGATTTAGGGGCTGAGAGTGGAAATACAGGAGAGATGGGAGAAGAAAGGAGCCCAAGGGGACAGTGGGGTGGGGCCAGACTACGAAGGGGCCCACTTCCACCTGGTGGTCTGGCCATGAAGAAGCTGTGGCCTAATGTGCAGCCAGATATCTGCTTGGGTGTGATTTCTGTAGAGGGGCAGATGGTGGGCTCTGGGGGGGGCCACATCTGTCACTCTGCCATATCACAAGGATTCCGGGTAACATACAAGCTTCCCACCACATTTCCATTAATCTGAGGCATCTCAAGGAACAGAATCCACAGCAGGAAGTCAGTCAGGCGCTAGGGAGATAAGTAGCACTCACATCCAATGTGTATACATTAAAGACATGTTTTGCATTAGAATTCTTTAAAGGAATAAAATGTTACAGATAAGTCAAAGGCCACCCCATGGATACCGCCCCCACCTTCCGCTGGGGGAGCCCCGAGCTGAGGTTCACTCGCTTCATCTATTTTACCAAGTGTGGCATTATCAAAAATAGTCATGTTATAGTTTTCTGTATTACAAAAATTAACAGACATGGTATCAAACCCAAATCTTTACACATGCAAACCAAGGTCCTTTCTTCTGGCCAGCCCTGGCCCTGGTTTGCCACTTGTGGGCCCTGCCCAGAGTGAAGGCAGGAGGGCATGCTCTGCCGCTGTGCTCCGGCTCAGACAGCACCCACTCCCACCCTCCTTTTTAACCAGCTGCAACAAGTCCTTTCCTTGGGTGTTTCAGCCCCCATGCTGCTGGGAGGGATGCAGTCCTGGCCTGATGATGGCCATCTCAGGATTCCTGAGGTTCCCAGGACCCCTATTTCCCAAGATACCAGGTCTCGACCAAAGCAGGTGCCCGTGGACAAGGTGCCTTTCCACGTAGCCCAAGAGGAAAGGAGTGCGAAGGCGCGTGAGAACACTTAGCTGTCAGCACTGGGACCTGGGTGTGTGGCTGGGAGCACGCTCAGCACTGTGGTGTACTATGCCCGTGAAGATGCCCAGGCCTGCTGGAAGGCCTGGGCGTGACCGCCAGTGCACGGAGCTGGCATCCCTGGGTCCTAATTCCTTCTGCGCTTTGCCTCCACAGGCTGGTGGTTTGATGCATGTGGCCCTTCCAACCTGAACGGAATGTACTATCCACAGAAGCAGAACACAAATAAATTCAATGGTATTAAGTGGTACTACTGGAAGGGGTCAGGCTACTCGCTTAAGGCCACCACCATGATGATTCGACCGGCGGATTTCTAAATGCCGTAGGCATACCCCAGAAAGACTGTGCTGGATTCTTCCCACAGCTAATCCCAAAGCACTGAAAGACACTGCTGCACTCCATCCCTCACCTGAGACAGCGCTGGGTGCCCACGGACCCATGCTCCAGACGACAACCTCAACATCATCGCTGACCCGCACCACTTAACGAGCCAAAGCAAAACCCAAACTAGCAAGGACCTGGCACTGTGGTCTGGTGGACACCTATGCAAAGATGAATTCACGGCTGAGAGAGTGACAATTCACAGACTCTGCTGTCACAACCAAGAATGTCATGCTCGAGTTCATCAGTAAATAACTGGAAAACAGAACACTTGTGCTATATAGTAGAGATAATCTTGGAACGGATCCTCTAAGCACTGTTTATGGGTTGTGTAAATATCCACGTGTCCTGAATTCAGCAACACTATCACAATTACAAGGAAGACAAACTTCTCTAAGCCATAAAAATACACTATATATTCAGGGATTTTCTCATTAGTGGTTATTAGCAGTTTAATATTTGGAAATAACAGTGCATTTTTACTCCTCTTAGCTACTTTAAATTTTCATTACCCAAAACAGCGTATTTACTTATCTGTTGACAGCTTAGTTTTAAGTTAATGCTCAAATACATATTTCAAATTGTATGCCATTTTAGTTTCTATGAAGATTGTACTATTTTTTTTCCAGTATGGCTGTTAAATATGAAGGTATTTTAGTAATTAAATATAACTTATTAGGTGAGATGATTATGTTTAACTTTTATAATAATATTTACAATTTTGTAATTTGGTTACAAAATACCTGTGCCTTATTACAAGGAAAAGTTTGATTTTCAATGAAGAAAATTATGCACTTTACTATCTTCTCAGACTATAGGATTTTCTCAGTATTCTAATACAGACATGTACTTTCTCTTCTAGCAAGCTCTACTTTAGAAAACTGAGCTAAATTTAATTTGTGGTTTAGAAAAACATTCCATTTAAGACATTGACAAAGTTATAGACTCACCTCTGATTTCATTTAAGAAAAAATATTTGCATTAGTGTTCATCAGCAAACTGAAAAAAAAAAGTGTTCTAGAATGCAAAAATAAAATCTGATGTTCATGAAATAAGCAAACGTTTATAGAGCATTTTACGAACACAACTTATGCTCACAACTGCAAAACTTTAGGTCCCACTGTTTCAGTTCCTTTTAAAGGTTTTGTAGTAGAATTAATACAATGAACATCTGAGGAATAAATGTAGGAGCAATTTCTCAGATGTTTACTTTCGAGTCCATGTTGTGAAGTTTGGATTCACCCGCGGCCAGCGTTCCCTGAGTTTGTCTCCACCTCCTACTGTTCCACCACTGCTTTTTCTTTATTCAGTCTTTCTTCCTTTTCACTCCTAAGTTCCTCCAGACTTAGCCTGGGGGCCCTCACATTTCACTATGCCTTCTGAGTTAAACTGTGGGCACTGCTCCCTTCTGCCATGTCTCACTTTCCCAACGATTTAGGGGGTGAAGAACGCTCCTGAGAACTATTTCCACAACTGCATTTAAGAAGGCTTTAAAAATTCAACAGGCGTATCACGGCTTTGTATCAAGTTAAAAAAAATGCGATAATAAGAAAATTTCACAACTTCACAATACAGTAAGCTTCTGGTGTTTCAATGACTACAATGATGGATATGGACTTGGGGAAATGGTAACAGGAAAAACCGGCAGCAACATGATTAATTTGTATCAATTTCTCAGGCAGCAGGAAAAATGGATTTCCAAAACAGACCTCACAATGTTACCCAGAGCTCTATTCTCTTATGACAGAAATGAGAAGAATCTGTTTGCACTTTACACTTCAATTCCTAATAGTATTCAAACAAACAGTCTTGCTAGGAGGAATTTTTTTCTCTCCTTAAGAAAACACTGACAAAGTTGAAAGGAAATCAAAACAGTAATCTTAAAAATGAAAACAAAAACAATTTAACAACCCAGATAACGGCAATGGCTGGAGAGCAGAGTTCAGTTTCTTGCTATATTACAGTCAGAGGGCCGGTCAGCAAATACACAACAAATGGCAGATACAACCATCACTTATCTTCCAGATATTAATCTTTCGAAATAATAAACTGCCACAAACCAGTCAACATTCTTGAAAATAAAAGCCAACTTCTGTATAATCCTGCTTCCAAACAAGCCATAATTAACCCACTTCACTATTATTATTATTTTTTTTTAAATTAGAACTTGGAAATTTTCCATTAACTGTTTGAAATATTTAAAAGTCAGTATAGTTGAAGTGAATTTAGGAAAATCAAAATATAAAGACCACATAATGATAGCAAGCCACAATTTTCATACCTATCAGTTTTGTCTCTGATAACAGTAAAAATGATTACTTTTTAAAACAGCAATATATAAGGCTACACCGTCAAGAATCCAGTTTGCTTATTTTCCTCAATTGTGTTCCTGAGGTTCCCAGGGCCCCTACTTTAAATTCATATTTAAATTTAAATTCATATTTAAATTTCTGGAGACACCACCTCTCTCAGTACTCTTTCAGGGAGCACTTTCATATCCTCACACGTGACCTCCTGAATAGACAACAGGTGTGAAGTTCTGCGGCTACGTCTTTCTCATTTGAGCAAGACTGCTCTGGACTTAGCCAGCTGAGCTCACGCTTATAGCGATACTAGATTGCATTTACCATCCAAAACATTATCTGACTCACGGGAGCGGCAGGGAAGTGGTTAAAAAGCTCAAAGGGCTCCTCGGAAATCCAGTGACCCATCTCCAAAGACAACAGGACCTGTGAAGGACACAACAAGCAGAACACTGATTATACATTCATCAGGCTCTTCGTGGGCAACAGCCACTCTGATGACAGTAAAAACAGACACAGCACCACAGCGAGGACACAGACCTGAAATGCATGTGTCTCCAACACCCATGTGTACTCAGATGTGTTAAGGATATTAACACTTGGTCAAGAAAAAACTCAGAGTGACTAGAAATGGAGTCATTATCTTAGTGAGCCAAAGAATTAAACAAGGCCCTGGGTTTGAGTCTCTGTGTCACAGAAATAAAAAAATACGCAAGTAAATGAGATTTAAAAATTGGGAGAAGATACAACACAAGGCAAATTTAAAAAGTGATCCTTTAGGATTAGGACTTGCTGCTAGCATTAGCTGATGTGTTCAGGAGAAGGTGTCAGGAAGTAACCCTTCCTAGAGTGCAGAAGACTAAGCGTCTCATCAGTAAGATTCATGTTCATCATCACCACAATTCCATCAATACTATTATTGGAATCCACACATTTTTAAATGATTAAAACAACATTTTCATTTTCAACTCAACAATGCTTCATATTCTGCAGGCGTCAGTATTCTATCACCAAACCCCTGAAATCTATGGGTTTCTACACACCAGTAGAATTTTACAGCCAAGAGACTCATGCTCGTCTTTGCATGCATTGTTCTTACATTCAGCAAGTCCATCCTTCCACCCAAAGTCTAAGCTCCTTTTGATGAATGAGCAGGATATGAGACCTGTCTCCTCCTTTTTGATAATTTCTAAGGCTCAGTACCACCTACAGGAGATGTCTTTCCTCCTTCACATGCTAAAGCTAATACGTATTCAACGTGAGATAGCAACGTATTTTTTTCTAAGAAAGTGGGCATCGCTGTGGAACAAATGACAAGAACAGGATTCGGAAGCTGAATGCAATCCTCAGCACCTGCCAGTTCTGACTTTAAACAGCTGCACCATCTATTCATCTGTGAATAATTTAGTGAGACCACAAATAAAAACCCAAGCCAGGTCCCAGGACCACAGCCCCCAAACTAGAGAGTCCACACTCTGGTAAGGAGCCTGATGTAAACCATCCATGTTGGTTTTCCCACTCAGTGTCACGGAGGAACCTTCATAATTAAATTTCTGGAGACTACCACATCTCTTAGTACCTCTTTCAGGGAGTACTTTTATATTCTCACATGTGACCTCCTGAATAGACAACGGGTGTTAAGCTCTCATTTGAGCAAGACAGCTCTGGACTTAGTCAGCTGAGCTCATGCTTACAATAATCCCAGATGGCTCCCAAACACCCTCGATGCAGGAGAGTCAAGACAAGCGGGGCTGACATTTCAAGCTGCATCTTACGTAATGTGTAAAAGGTCATTAGGCACAGAGAATGACAGGGAAAGGAGACAGGCGCTATTTACTAATTTTTGGCTAGAAGTAGATGGTGCTTTGGAAAAATGCGAGGGAATGGGGTTGGTTGGGTCCCCAGGGTGAGTTGTGAGAGCATACTGTTTCCACCCCAGTGCAGGAGTGGCACTGAGGAATGGCAAAAGCAGCCCAGGGCACCAGGGCCAGAAGCCCAGCCCTGTGAGGCAGGAGAAGCAGCTCTGGGGATGCTGGGCCCAAGACAACGAATGGGAACGGAGTATAATGTGGGAAAATCTGTCTCCAGCGGAGATGGAAAACAGCACGCTGTACTCTCAGGGACCCTGCTCAGTGTAGCTGCTAGTCCTCAACTAGAACCTTGTACGCAGGAGTACTCTGTCATTTAAATCTCTTTCCATTTTCCCCTAGTTTATGTGGCTTAAACAACCTTAAAAACAATGACAACAACAACAACAAAAAAAAACAGTTCAATGAAAGAAAGTATAGAGAACTGATAACTCCACACTGAAATCGTGTTCTCATCTGGCTGTTTATGGGTGTTTTAAAACAGTTAAGTATTTATCTTCCTTTTATCAGCCCATGTATGTTATCATTTAGAGATACACAAGCAATTTGTGTGGATCTCTACAAACTCATATCATTAGTCCAGGAAATAAAACGAAGAAGTTTCAACATCAGGCTCCTTTCAGACAGGAGGCCCTGGGAAACAACGTGCTGGTGAGAGAAGCCAGGGAATGAGCAGTCTTAAAAACGCGTGTGCCCTGAAGTTCAAATATAAACCACATTGAAATGTCAACTGAATTTAAACAAACTTGGAGTATATTCATGTTTCCTGAATTTATCCCTTTCCAAATGTTAAGAAAATAAAACCATAAGGCAGCTATTAGAATTCTGGTAGGCAAATTGATAAATTTAATTTATATAGGCATCTCAAGAATTAATATCACAAAGACAGAAGATGCTAAGTTGATTGTTCTAAAATCATCATGTAAGAAATGCAATGTAAACCTCGAGCTCTGGACTCTCATTAGCCAAACGTATCTACCTTAGTAGAGTATCCAAAATAGAAAACTCGACTTGTAAGACCACAGTTGGGCAGCACGTGAACTCAAAAACAAAAGGCTGACCCAACACATTTCCCATAACATATCTGAGAAAACAAAAATAACTGAGAAGCTAAATAAAGTGAGGAATGAGGCTGCGTGAACACAAAGGACCGAGTCCCGCGTTTATTATAGCCTTAAATGGCTGGGGAGTGGGGTGGGTATTTCAGCACCCACAGCGAGACTCAGCATCCTGTTGTAACACATTAGGTCATGACAAGGGTGTTTCTTTTTTGAAAAGAATATTGAATATATGATATTGACTTAATCTCAAACATTTGATGGCAGCTCTGTAGTGATTTAAGAACAAGATACTATGTGTCATTCAACAGTTACTTTAAAAAGACTACAGATACAAGGGAACAAGAATTTCTTGCAGGAATAAGAAAACTCAAGGGACAAGGGAATTTTTTGATATTTTAAAATTATCATTGATAAAGCTCACGTTTTGCTGATGAATTTAGATAAGAACTATTTTCTTGCTTTATTCTCAGATGAGCAGCTAGTAGTAGACGTCACTTTCCCGGACGTCGGGCTGGCTACGCAGTTACTTCTACAGAATACCAACAGTCTTTCTTGTTCTGCACACATTGGTCACTCCGTGTGGACAGGGGTGGAGGTTGGCTGCAGCGCTCTCAGGCTAGAAAGAGGGACAGTTATCAATGCACGTGAAGAGCAGCATGGCGGACACGGTGGACCAGGAAGAAGGCGGAGTGGCTCCAGTCAGGATGGCAGAGCAGAAGTACCATTTTGTTTCACCTGCTCCCAGTACTCAACCGAAACGGTGGAATTAAAAGGATGGGCAGAGTCCACAGAAGATGGGATGGAACGATATTTTGGAAGCTGTAGAGCAGATGGGTGAACAGGGGCTGATGAGAAGGCCTGAGCGCAGATCCGGAGAGGGAAGGAGCCAGGAAACACCCAATCTCCATCTGCTAATTTCCACAGTCTGAGAACTGTTGTTCCTAGACTCTGCAGAAATCGGGGCACAGAACAGGTAAAAGGGGCGACTTCTCACCCCCTGCCCCACTCTCCTCTGGAACAAGGCAACCCCCAAATGTATGACCTTCCCGAGGGCTGCGGTGGGAAGCCCAGGGGAACATGCTGTGGTCCAGCCTCGCTCTGGCCACGTCAGGAACGACACCTCAGCAGGAGGACAGCCTTTCTGGGGAGACTTCTAGCTCAGACACAAAGGCACACATGCTAATGTGCGGACTCCCCCGCCCAACACCTCCACCCACATCAGAGGACCTGGGCTCCACTCCGGCCGAGTCCATCTGCTTCTCAGTGGCCTCTGTATTAAATGTGATTCGATGCCCGTCTGAGAGTAGCCCCAGAAAGGAGAAGAGACCAAGCCACACAAAGGGAATCCCTGGGCTCATGGCCATGGGAAGGCCAGACGACGTCTGCTGGAGAGGCTGGAGGGCAGCGCCGTGGGAGGGCAGCGCCACCAGGCATTCACCCTGGGGTGGGGCGGCATCGAAAGGCTCTGGGATGTGCTGAGAGGCTCGAGGGGAGATTGTCACTCGGGTGCTTCACAGTGAATTAGTAACAGAGACAAAGAAAATGAGGCAATCAAAATAACTGTCAGTTATTAACTTGGAAAACAAAAACATGACCAGAAATGCAGGACAGCCACAGCATGTTAATGGCTCCATCCCCCCACGGAACCCACATGGGGGTGTGCTACACATACAGGTAAGTGTCAAGCAAAAAACCATGACCATGCTGGGTAACCGGCAGGGAAGTGTGGACAGTAGGGAAAGACAGCTCTCTGTTATCCAGGAGCAGAGAGAGACGGCCGAGGCTGCAGGGGAGGAGCAGTCTGTGTGTGTGTGTGTGTGTGTGTGTGTGTGTGTGTGTGTCTGTGTGTGTGTTGGGGGCGGTTCTCAGGTTGACGACTGCACTGATGATTCACCACCTCGGGTAGGAGAAACTCAGCTGTAACATGAAACCAGTTTAACTCACCTGAGGGCTTTACTGGTCACCCTGAAAATCAACGTTGTTAACGTTGACGTCTGATAAGCAAAATTCCTGTCACTCTCACATTAAGTTTATGATCCATCTCTGGGTCTGGCCCAGTCTCCCGGCCACCGTGTGCCCGACTGTTCAATTCATTGGCAACTATGAAGAATACTTGTGGGAACACAACTGGTCAGGGACAAGGGGGGACCACAGTCCACAAGGTTTCTGCATATGGCAGGCTTCAAGTTGCCTAAGATACAGCCTGAAGAATGAAAATCAAATCTGACAGCTAGAAATTTGTCCCAGATTTAACCCAAGGGATTCTAGTTAACTTCACACGGTCCAACAGTCCGCTTTATTCTCCATTTTGTCACATATCTGTCTCCGTTAACATGACAAGGGCTGAGGCACCATTGCCACCGTCTGCCTGTCTGTCCTTCCCCCACCCACGGTGGTAAAGGTATAACAACATGCTGCATTTACAGATTTCTTCTCTATTATGATAGTAACAGAAGTAATTTATTAATATTTTATTGTTTAAGCTCAAAATATAAAA